ATTGATCCAAAGGTTGGAAGGAAATTGGGGTTTTGTGGAGAACTTACTTCAAGAGTTGGAGCTGGTCTAAGGCCTTCTATAGTAGGCCCGGAAAAAAGTGAGTGATACCAACCTAATGGTTGGGATAAAACTTAAAAACTATTTTTCTCTTTTAATAGTCAAGGCTTAAAATTTTAGCTTGAGATTATTAAATAATGATTTTAGCCTAATTTTTTTAAAATTAAATTTTATGTGGATTATGCTAATTTATTTATATGAATATTTGAACTTAAAAGTGTGACAGCCCGTCCCGAAATATGGAATATTTTGTCCTCAATAACGTGGAATGACAACTTTACCCTTGGGCGTTAAGTTGTAAATCTATAAATTGGGCTAAGGAAATGGACATTTTATCTTTGGTTTTATTTCTTTGGAATCAATAGGTAATTAGTAGGGTTTTTAGGTTTAATTTTGGTAGCCCAATTGGAGGTTGAGTTGGGTTATAGGTGTGCCCAATCCGAGCATAGTCACACACTCACACGTGCGTTGACCTTTCTCTCTCTCTCTCTCTCCCTCTCGATTTTCTTCCATTGTCTGTACAACCCGTACAGTCACCCTCTCAAATTATCTCATCACTCACAGATCGAGTTAGATTAGATAATTTTCGGACTCCTTGCGAGCTCAGGAGTCTAACCATACCGTTGGTTGGACGTGAAGACCTCAAAAACCCTAAGAACTTGCGAGCTCCAGCGAAGTGCTTTGTAGCTCCGACGTGATCGTGAAGGTTTTAACCAGTTTAGGGACCTAAAAAGGTATTTTTCTAACTTCTCTAGTACCTGGGAACCCTTTTGGAGTAGTTTTGACGTTAAAACACTCGGGTTTATCGAGTTGCAAGTTTGGCCGATTTTTCATAATTTTTTTCGGCCAGTTTCCGTTGATTTTAGGACCTTTGAAAGGTAAGATCATGTTCTCATCATTGAGAGCTTCACTTTGGTGAAAATTTCATGGAATTTGGTGTTGAATTGGAAGAGATATTGAAGTTTTTCAGTTTTCCAGAATCCGGCAATAGCAGAGGTGGCCGGCGCCGGACTCCGGCGAACCACGGAAGAAGGAAAGGAATATTCCGTCAATTTTGAAGGAATATGCTAACGGTGTCAGGTAAATTAAACGGCATATTCTAATATTTAACGGAATATTCCCCAACGCCGTTAGGGAATCTGTCAGTGCCAAGCACGTGCCTACACGTGGGCGGCGCGTGGGACGTTGAAATTTTTTTAAAAAAAATATGGGGATGTTCCTGAGGTTGAGTGGGTCACGGTGGTATATTCAAATATCCCAATTGAGCAATGTATGAGAAATTATTACCTAGTTTTGATTATGTGCTTAAAAATAACGATTAAATAGTTGTTTCGCATATAAGTGAGACCTATCCTGAGGTTTAGCGCAGTCAAGTAAGGCTCGGGGGTTACGACCCTTCCACATATCAGTGAGTGGGCTTTTGGTTTTCAGTATATAATTATATACTTGGTATTTTCCCCAGAAAACTTAATTAAATGGTTTTATAATTTGAAATGCCATGTCAAATGCTCTCTATGTTTAATTGTGCATTAGTACGATTATATATATACATTGTTGTTCGACGCTGTGGATGCTCAGGTAAACTTCAGGTGAGTATATTGATGGTAGTGATGGTAATGAGTATAATAGTGCTGAGATATATTTCGAGCTTATTATCCTGCACCCCGGTGTTAGTGCTCCGCCCAAGGACAAGGCCTAGCCTTCATGTGATCGTTCACCTCTCGCACCACACGCTCACATAGGATCTAAGGCAGGTGTCAGTCTGTTGTACATACCACTTTAGGTGGTTCTGACTCGTAGGTGACTTGCGATACTTCGCACAGCCTTCACGTGACCGTAGCACTTGAGCGTATTTATTTACACCTAGACTGTCGTATAGACCACATTAGGTGGTTCCGACTCGTGTACAGAATTTGATTGATAAGTTGTGGACCCAGCCGTACATGTCACTTTAGGTGACTCCGGCTGTCATACTATTTCTTATTGATTTATGGCACCTGGCTTACTTATTTCTTTCTGAGATTTGACATGGTATATTCAGTGGATTTGTTATTTTGAATATGATTTTGCGATATAATCGTATATGCTATTTTATGGGAATTATACAGGTTTTACGGCGAGGGGTTACTACTTTTGATAAATGAAATGGTTTTGAAAAACTTTGTTTTTGCCCACTCACAATTTCTGTTTTGCGCCCCTCCAGGTTTTAGGTAAGTTTGCTTGTTGGTGGTTCACGAGGAATTCACGGCAGCTCTGACAGATTATCACAAATGTAGGACCATCTTTGGTATTGTATAACTAGTATTCGTCCTGTTGGACTGCACTTAGGTTACCTACGCTTTGGTTATGTGTAGTCACTTTAATATCACACTTTCACCTTATCTCATCTAGTGTTTTAGTCAGTTGGTTTTTATTTATTCGCATTTCTTATATCATTATTGTTTTTGTACTGTGCACATGGCTACGTACCTTCTCGTGATCGCTATCATACCTCGATTTAGGTCGGAGTGTGTCAAAAAGTATGTAAATACACAAAAATAATGAAAAATCAATCAAAAATAGGTATTTATAAAGTTTTTGAGTGAAATTTGATTTGAATCATTTTTTTAAACTTTTTTAGACATTAGATTTAATTTTAGGCCTCAGATCTTTTTTTATCGTTAGATTTAATCTCATTTGATCACAGCCGTTGGATTATAAGTAAAAAATAAATAAATTAAGGTTTGAAATATAACCGTCGGATCAATCAACGATCATATTATTTGGACCATTTGATCGCAACTGAAATGCGATCGTTTGAAGTGGGCGACAACATCTGTCCGCCTGGGCTCCTCCATGCTTTTGCTGGTGTGTGATACATCAGCTTTGGGGCATGTAGTGAACGATGCCCGTTCTTTTCTCAGTACCTGATAGAGTTGATGAGATAATGAGTGCATAGGATTGTGACAAGTGTCTTTGTATTATTGGTGGTGTCCTTGGACTCACTAATTTATAAATATCAACAGTTGTAATTATTCTACACAAATTGAATAAAAGAGAAAATTCAGTTTTAACAAACTTTCCTTCTTTAGTTTCTTTCTCTTGTTTGCTTAGTTCTTAAGCTTTTACATTGTTAACACTTCCTTCATGTTTTGATCAATTACACACCACGTGAGGCCAATAGAATAGCAGTTAAGTTAACAAATTCGTCTTTGATTAGAATCGAAATGATCTTTCACTTACAAATAAAAATGAATACTACCATATCGTAATACTAAGTGGTTACTTTTTCTAAAAAAATTTGCAACTGCTTTTTATTGTCTAATTTATATAGCATATCTAAAATATTAAATTGGCTAGCTAGGAGGGATGTGACAGCGCACCAACTTTCCTTTGTATTACTTTTTCTTTTGCTTAACTTTACCCTTTTTTTTTTTTTTTTGAAACTTTTTCCAAAAAAAAAAGAAAAAAGAAAAAAAGAAGTTAAAGTTCATGCAGATTCCTTTTCCGTATGAACCCATTTTCTTTCATCGGAGAGGACCACATTCTGTTGAAATCCATGTGTTGTGTCGAGATCGAATGTCTTCTTGGTGAAGAGCTATCTCCTAGAATTGGATATTCTTCGAGGTAAACTTCAACGGACCATGTTATTGAGTTAAGAAGATTCCGAAGATTTACCTCAGAGTGGATCTAATTCTCTATCTCCTTGGCTATAATTATTACAAAGGGTGTGCTATCCACACACCCTATTTTACTTCTCAAACACCCCTTGATAATTTATGTCTGTTGATCTTCTTCAATTCATCCGATCAGACGGCCGAAAATTAAAAAGATGTGTAAAAAATAAAATGAGTTGTATGGATATCACATACTTTATTACAAATAGGGAAATGATGGGGGACTCGCCCCTCAGGCGAGTCTGAATGGACTCTCCATCCACGTAATTGATACTAATTGTGGGTCCCACTCTTATTTTTAATTAAAAACAAATAATATTACATGTTATAATATTGTTTTTCTCTGTGGTCTGTACTTTTTCACCCTTTCTCCTTCCTGAAGAACCAAACATTCATAAAATTACATGAAAACCCAATAAATCATACTCCAGATTTAGAAATTATTGTTGTAACAAGAACATGAATTATTCGGCCCCAAAAACAAAAAAATGTTTTACATCATTCTTACATCAAATTATCTCCATAGAAAAATATCAAAAGAGCTTTAAAAAGTTAGATGAATTCTTCGACTAATTTTTTTCAACTTTGCAATTCATGTCTATTGGCGCGAATAACTGAAATTGTGGGAAGAAAAATCAGACAAAGATCCACGCTTGATGGATGCTTTAGGGTTTTAGCTGGGAGGAGAGAGAGATGGTGAAAGAGAGAAAAGAGTAAAGAAGAGAGACAAACTAGTATTTTAAAAGGAAAATTGATGGAAAGATTTTGAAAACTTTGAGTTTCAACGATAAGGTTAAAATAAAACGTAAAATGAATAGTACCACGATTGATTTTTTAGTGTAAAAATATGGTTTTTCGTTAAAGTAAACAGTACCAAAGAGTTTTTCGTTAAAGTTCTATATTTTAAATTGTAATTATTAAAGAGTGCGTTTTTGCTCACCACAATTTAGTGTGGTGTATGCTCACCATCCTATTTATCACCATTAGATGAGTTTGAATATTGAGATGTGTGTTTATTCACTACACTAATCTCGAAATTCAAACTCATTTAACGATGATAGTTAGGATGGTAAACATACATCACTAAACGGTGATGAGCAAAAATGCTCTCATTATTAAACATAACAGTGGGACCAGCAATTAACATTGAAACCTATATCAGTATTACGTGGAGGGAGAGTCCTTCGAGTCTACTAGTCTAGGTGCTGCGCTGGGCTCCTTTACAGCGTGTGTAGGCGCAGGGCGGGGCCCATTGTGCTATCCTGGTTTAAATTTTGGGAGGAATTTGGCCCAAAATATTTTTGGGAGAAACAAAATGATTTCGCGCCTGCCGTAAAACGGTCTCAGACACCCACCAAATATTTTCCCTTCTCTCTCTGTTTCTTCCTCGCCATGTCCGGACGACGTTCTCGCCCCTCCTCCCGCAGCAGAAGGGGTCAGCCACCGCAACAACCCCAAAGCCTTAATTTCCCCCTCCAAAACTCCAGCAACCCTACCCAAAACCCTGGCTTCACTCCTCCTCAGGTTTCGAGCTCTGCGGTCTTTTGGCCTCAGAACTCGAGAGATATGCTCGAGAGTATTGACCGAGCCGTGGGGAAGGCTCGCTACGAGCTTGCCGCCGCCGGAGAGAACGTCTCCGCTTGGAAGGTCGTGCAGTCGACCCTTCTGATGCTCAAAGTTGATAGCTGGGATTCTTTGGGGTTTCAGATGCAGCAAGTGCCGTATCTGAACCTCCTCATGCTCACCGAAGCGAAGGTAATGGCATCCTCTAAGTAATGCTTCATTTGGTTGCTGAGAAAGTGTAGGAAAAGAGTTGTAATTGATATTAGTAATTCTTCCTTCGTAATTTAAACACTTCCATTGCGTATTAGGAATTTAGTGAAAATACTCTGTATTGTGAAAATCATACATGATTTTTATTGCTTGTAATTAGCCTCCGAGAAACCACATTAAACAAAGAATATCATGGATATAAGATGGACCACATTTGAAAGTGGGGTGAAGAATTGGAATATTTTACCAAAGACTCGAGAGAACTCTGGGCTTCTTAAGGATATATATATATTTTTACCTTAGCGATTTTCTTTCGCAACAGTTATCTTGCTTCGTGGGATTGTTTTCAGTAATTTAAACATAAGGGATGAGATTTAATAAATTTATATTTCTGATCTGGGTTTGGGGTGAGAGCAACTAAAAGGCTTGACCTTTTTATTATTGAGCAATTCCAAGGAGATTTGCTATCTTTATTCACCGAACATTAGTTGTCAAGGTGTACTTATTGTCTTTTGTTTTGCTCATTTGAGTATGAAGTTTCATTTGTAAAGTAAAAGTAATAAAATCATGCAGAACGAACATGTGACTTTTCCTTTTCACTTGTTTTCTCAACAACCAAAAGAAGCATAGGATACAATATTAAAATTTTGCATCTTTTCTGTATTTTTATCTTATAAGATCTATGCCTTTATGTATTAAATCCCATCAGTCTTTACTTATTTTCTATTGGAATTTAGATAAATGCATTTATCCATTGTTTCGTTGGAGTTCAAAGCATTACTTCATTGTATGATTTGGAAGTAGCAATCTGCAAGAATGAGAGAATTAAGCAGTTTGAAAAGCTGGGATTGGGCCCTTTGTTGCGACACCCACTTGTTTTGCATTATTTCTCGGTGAAGTCTGCTACAACTAAAGTGTTTAAGATAACTAGTGAGGAGATAACATCTCTACTTTCAGAGTTCATGGATACTTCTAACAATAAAATGTTTAGCCCTGAAGAAATTTTAGATTTCATCGTTAAGAGGCGATCTGCTGCAAGCAAGGAAGATCTTGGAATACGAATTTACAATCTGGGGTATGTCTCACATTTGTTGCTTCTACTTTTTGATTAACAAAGCTGTTTTGTAGATAGATGAACTATGATCAGAGAATTACACTGGCAAATGAAATCTTTTTTTTTCTTTAGTTCATATGCAATTATATGATGCTGGATTTACTAGTTTATGAAGCTTTCATGCAGTAAATTTCCTTCTAATATTTGCAAATGCATGCGGCAGTAAACTTTTTTCTTATGTTTTAGGGATGTTGAGTAGGATCTCGTATAGTACTTGCCCGTTCTCTCGTAGAGTCATGGATTTTTTATGCATGCTTGTGCTGATGTAAAATGCATGCTTTTTGTCAATTCTTTGTGTGTGTGTGTGTGTGTTACGTAGTCATCTCATTTATCCTTTTCAATGATTTAGGCAAATTTATAATGTCATTGATTGAAATAACTTTATGATTTATATTGTGTGTGTGTGTGTGTCAATCATAGTCTATTAATTGGTAAATTTGTTAACCATGATTTTAGTTTTTAAGGGGTCAAGACTGTCTCATGATATTATGTAGTCATCTCAGAGAGTGTGTGTGTGTGTTACGTAGTCATCTCATTTATCCTTTTCAATGATTTAGGCAAATTTATAATGTCATTGATTGAAATAACTTTATGATCACAGGAATTATATTGTGTGTGTGTGTGAATCATAGTTTATTAATTGATAAATTTGTTAACCATGATTTTAGTTTTCTAAGGGGTCAAGACTGTCTCATGATATTACGTAGTCATCTCATTTATCCTTTTCAATGATTTAGGCAAATTTATAATGTCATTGATTGAAATAACTTTGTGATCACAGGAATTATATTTTTGCCATTCAGAAAGCCAAGAGATTAGAAATGAAATCTGTGAAGGGATTTGAGGAAGAAATAGTTACAGAATGTAGGCAGAGTCCACTTTTTTCCGCACTGAAAAATCAGCTAGATGAACGTTTCAGCACCATTTCTCAGCATGTTGAATCGTTTTCCTCCATGCACAAGGATTTTCGTGGCAAGCACATTAGATTTGATTCCTCAAGCTTAAAGGATGAAGATAATGAGAGTAAGGGAGAGAAGGTTCAAGATGCCCTTCCTGTGGAAAATGGTAGGGAAACCAATGAGGTCAGCAATTTGCATGAAGATAAACTTTCAATTGACAATAACCGTATGAAGATTTTTATTACAACCTGGAAGGAGGCATGTCAGGAGCTCACTGTGACTGAGGTATGTTCATGCTCTTGTTTTGGTATGTAAACAAATGATTTGATATCAAATACCTGCCAATAGTTTGGTATCTTATTATGTAATGTATTTAGTTTTCTACATATTTTCATTGCTTTTCAGAATTATAATGAAATTGATTTTAATGTGTAACTGATACCAAATTCTCTAGGTTTCAAAGATTTGAAGAAACATTGTTCTTGGAAATGTGCTTCATTTTCTGGCTGATATCTTTACAGATTGATATTTTTAGTGAATTGTATTAATGGGGGAAGGCTATGGATTTAAAGGAAATATATTCGGGGAAGAACTGGAGGTATTTGCTGATGTTTCTCATATCCCATGGGTGTTGACAAGGATAAGAAATACATGTTAAACAATTCCAATAAATTGTGTTTCCATGCTAAATTTTCTTGCATAACAAAAGTTGCACCACGTTCTTTCATTTTTATTCCTTCGCTGCTTTAACTTAGCCTTAGTACGAGTGCTACAAGTGTCAGAGTTCTAAAAACCACCCTTTGACTATTGTTTGCTGTTTAATAATTTTGCAGATCTTGTTTTCTATTTATTGTTTCTACACATACTACTGGTTTCACAAGATATCTTTTGTTTCTTGTAGGTAGTTGATATGATGCTGCTGTATAATAATACCACAGCTAAGCGGAGAAAGAAAATCAAGTCAATGTTTTCCCTTCATCCATTAATTGGATTACTTAACGTTGCTGTAAGTCATTGTGGTCTGTTTAATTATCAGCTTATTAGTTTCCCATGTAGTATTTTATTGTTTTGCAGATGTTTAATTATTCAGTTCACGAGGATATTAAAGTATGGAGATGCATATGTGTTTTTGTTATCTTTGTGTGTTTGGTGTTTTAACTCTGGTTGTAGATGTATGGTGCTTTGTTATAGAGTCTTTGAGGATTACAAGGGAGTGGGGTAGAGGAGCTTTGGGATAGAGTAAGACACTGGGACAGCCCTTTGGGCTTCAGTTTCAGTGGAGTTTAGAGATTACAATCTCTCTTCTATATTTAGGGATTTGTTAGCAGCCGTTAATTGATACGGTTTAGCTTTACCTCTGTTCAGTTAGTTTTCAGCAGGGGTCCTTGCTAGTTTTCTTCTAGCTCCAGGTGGATATCTTTTCCACATGGTTTTCTTTTCCTCTTTTGTAAATTCTTTCCCTTTTTATAAAATTCTTTCGTTTCCTTTCAAAAAAGAAGAAGAAAGATGTGTGTTGCTTTGGTTGCTGTTTTGGTTCTGATGGACTGCTCGTCCAAGCTTATTGTAGTTCGTTTTTCTTTTTTCATAATAAAACTACATATTTTAGTGTATATTCGTGTGGTTCCTTTTGGTTTTGGTTTTGGTTTTGGTTTTGGTTTTTCTATCATGGGTTCAATACTTTTAGTTACCTTGAATGTTAGGTAAGATTCTGCTAAGGCCTTGTATAAGATAGGAGAAGGTCCTACCTGAGAGTATGTATCTGTATGCTTATAAATGGCATGTTATAGGGCCTGTATCTGTATATCATGTTAAGATCATTCTTTATATCTGAAAATTTTCAAGAAAATTACTCTACAAGGTTCTCAATTTGTCTTATGTGGGTTTCTTCGAGTTTTCCACATATCCATCGATATTTCCACAAATTCGTCTATCTATATTTTCATTGACACGGATATTTTAAACATTGATTGTGACTAACCAGTGAAATCCTTTATTGTGATGCAACTGTTCCTGATCGCTCACATTGTTATTTCTATGATGCAGGTCTCGTCTATCAAATGTGGAATGTGGGACAGCATGTATGATACATTCCAAACTGTCAGTCTTACTGATAACTGTCCTGAATATGTGAGCATAGATGAACCAATTACTAAAGATGAACCAAAAATTAAGGATCCACCGGTCGTCACTGAACATACTGTTGAGCATACGCAGAGTAAGTGGTGGTTTTTTTTTTTATTTTTCGAAAAAGAATCATCATGATGCAGGACAAAAGGATTACGGGAATTTTTTTTTTTGTTTTTTTTGGGAAGAAACGATAACACTTTATTAAAATAAAAACAAGAGATGGGTAATTGGAATTATTTTTATTTTCCTCTTTTAAGATTTTGATTTTTTTTTTAACAAAGTAAATATTGAAGCCAAGGGTAAATAAGTTGAATACATGGCAGATTTTGAGTTGAATATATGGCAGACAGAGGAAGTGGCAGATTTTGATTTTGATTTTGTTCTCGCTAAAAGATCTTTTAGCCGACGCGAGTCCCTGTTAAACTTAATTCCATTAAACGGAGTCCTTGTTGCTAACAAACATGGGTTAGTCCAGTCCAATTCAGTTTAGTTAGTGAAGGTAAACAAACACATCCTAAAAGACTAAAACACCCTTGACCCGTATGACGGATGTTCTTCTTCACATGATAATGGCATGTATACTTACCTAGAATGGGAGTTTGACTTGCTCTATTTTCTACTTCCCTTGGGTTTACCAACACATTTGGAATCATTCTAAATCCAATACCTTAAAAAACCAGGAATTATATGGATTGAGGGTAGTTGATACAAAACCGTTCTTGATAACCCATATTTCAGACTTTCCCAATTTGAAGTTAGTAAACAAGCCATTAATAGTGAAGAAAACATTAATTACAATTCGTGGACAAGGAGTCCGCATCAGGCCTCCCCCTTTGGATCACATCATCGGTATTAATCTTCTATTAGTTTACAAGAGTGATTCCATCTAACAATTAAAAAATGGATTTCACTACTCCCAGCACAATTTTGAGCTGTAGGAAATTACTGCCGCTAAGATCATCTCCAACTCTTGGGTTAAAACCTAAAATTTTTAACCTAGAAAATTTAGGTTTTAGCCCAGAAACGATTTTTTTGCTCCAACTCTTTTGGCCTAATTTTTTAGCCTGAGATTATTAAACAATAAATTTAGGCTAATTTTTTTCTTTTAAAGTAATTTAAAAAAAAATTATTTACACTATCATAATTTAATTTTATAAACATTTTAACCTAAAAATATTTAAATTCCGTTAAATATTGAAAAATCACTAAATTTAAGTGAATTTTGAGTTAAATAATTTTTGTAATTATTTTAGCAGTCGGATTTAAATTTGGACCATTAGATTTTTTTTTTTTTACCATTAGATTTGATTATATTCAATCTCAGCCGTTTGATTCAATAAATCTTGGGAGACATGCCCATGTGGGTGGGGTCCCGTTGGTGGTGCCCACACCATTTTCTGGGCTAAATCCGGGAGGGAATTTGGCTTTTAGTTTTTAGACTACACATTTAACATAGGTTGGGTTGGGTTTGGGGGGGAATAAAATCTAAAAAAATAGCATTTAGCCCAGAGTTGGGTTTGGTCTAATAGGTTTAATCTTTGGAGGCTAATTCTCTGCCCTCCCACTTCCCGTGTCCTTCCGTGCCCTCCTGTTTTGTGTGGTCACGATTAAGCCACGTCATCATTATATATATATTTTTTTATAGAGATAATAAGACAAAAAGGAATAGTAATATAAAATGTTGACGTGGTTTAACCGTGACCACACAAACAGGAGGGCACGGGAAGTGGGAGAGCAAAGAATCTGCCTCCTTAATCTTTTGACACCAAAGCATTGGTTCCTGCTTTTTTATGTTTCTCTTTGAAACTTGTATGCCTTATGGTGTTCTGTAATTAAATTTCACAGGTGTTTCTGTTGAGGACATAATCAGAAGTATTACCCTGTATTTTGAGAGTGATCAAGGAAGGCATTACAATAGCCAATCACTTCAGGAGAAGATATTTATCTTCTTGAGAAAGCTTTGCGATTGCGAGCTTTGGCTGGTCAAAGAATTTGGCCTCAAGGAATTTACATCCCTCGGTCATGGGGAGTTTTTTATCTTCTTAGAGAAATATGCTTGTCTACTGCCAGACGAGCTGTGCAAGTTCCCGACTGGTGACGTAACGGTAAAGTGTCCTTTGGAGGTTTGCTTGCTCCAGCACCATTTGGTTGTTTTAGTATCTCAAGCTTTGAATAGTTTATGGGAGGATGAAAACATTACTAAAGAAAAAATATTACTGCTGCTTAGGAAGCAGTTCCCATTGGTTAGTTTCACAACTACTGAAAATGGTTCAGCGGAAGATTTCTTAAGTATAGTGGGAAAGCATAAAAATGCTGCGATTTCCAAATGTGTTCTATTTTCAATGGCACTATGTGGAACTAGTTATGCTAGACAGTCATCAGCACAGATTGAGAATGTCCTATGGAACAGCACTTTAATCGATACTGACAGTGGCCCGAAAGCAAAGCCTTATGAATCTGTTACATCCAAGGTTGCAATTGAAGTCTTACTTAGGGCACCAATGATGTCAGATTTAAACTTATGGTCACATTGGGACCTTTTGTTTGCTCCCTCTCTTGGTCCTCTTTTACCATGGCTGTTGAAGGAAGTCAACACGGATGAACTGTTGTGTTTGGTGACAAAAGATGGAAAACTGATTCGGTTAGATCATTCAGCAACTGTTGATTCATTCTTGGAAGCTGCACTTCAAGGATCCTCTTTTCAAACAGCAGTGAAAATGCTATCTCTATTTTCACTAGTTGGGGGAGAAAAACATGTTCCTGTCTCCCTTCTGAAAATTCATATACAACATGCATTTGAAGTAATCCTGAAGAATTATTTAGATGGTTTGGAAGTACATGACAATAATAATTCTTTTAATTATGGAGAACCACTGTCTAGACAGGAAATTGTTGGTGAAGTTGCTGCTGGTAAATTGTGTAGTAAATTACACAGTGACATAGGCAAGATGAATGGTGCAACGTCTGTTATATCAAGATTTGTCCTTGAATGTCTTGGGTATCTACCTGCCGAGTTTCGTGATTTTGCTGCTGATATATTGCTTTCTGGGATACAATCTGTTGTCAAACATGCTCCCTCAGCCATTCTGGGTGAATGTATCAAACCAGAACAGCGTCTCATGCTTCACGAAGTTGGGTTGTCTCTTGGTATAGTGGAGTGGATTACTGATTACCATGAATTTTGTTCCAAGGATGCTACTGACTTGTTCATATCTGCGGATTCACTTATGAATTCTGTTAGTTATGGAACAGGGTCAAGCTCAATGATTGTGCAAGATGTGTCAGATGAGTTTTCTGCTTCTGAACAGAGCATGGGTGCATCTGGTAGGCCAGATGAGCAGACAACTGGATGTACTGGTTGTCTGAAGATTGATAGTGCAGAAGCTCCTGATGCTAGAAATGGATATTGTTCCACACAAGGTTCTGCGGAGCTTAATAAGCATGAAGATGCAGCCCAGGTAATTGAGTCAATCCGGAGAGATGAATTCGGTCTTGATTCAACCCTACAAGGTGTTGAAAGTATCATGCTAAAGAAGCAGCATGCTCGCTTAGGGAGAGCTCTTCATTGTCTTTCACAGGAATTGTATTCTCAGGATTCACACTTTCTTCTTGAGCTGGTAAGGGTGCTCTCTCTCTCTCTCTCTCTATCTTTTTCCCCCTTTCATTGTGCTTAGTGCAGTCATCTGCTCAATTGTGTGAATCTTCCTCCTTTTTATTATCTTTTTGGGTGTCTCCTTTCATTCACTGTCTAAATTCTTGGTCTTGTCATATAATTTTTTCCTCTTTCATTTAAGGTATAAATGCCTGGTCTTGTCATATACTGTTTTTCATGTAATTTCTGGAAGTTCTCCTGGATTCTGATTAATAAATGAACTCTGCTTAGATTTGTACGGCTTTCTGGGTTTACTGACTCGTGGTTACCTGTGTATTTATACATATGGAAATCTTTCTAAACAGCCTGACATGTTAAGTGGTCAACTTTATTATTTGTTTATAGCATGGAACCAGATTGATAGTTTGAAAAAAATAACTATGCATATTTATCTAGCCAGATTGATAGTTTGAAAAACATAACTAGGCATATTTATCTATTTATATTTTGTGTTGTTGCCTGATGCCCCTGATATCATATATTGTTGTGCAGGGCTTAGAATTCTCAATGTGGGATTTACCCTCAACACGTTTCATTTGTAAAATTTATCCTACAACAACATATTGTCAATACTATTTCAAATTTAGATTTCGTGTGATCTTTATATGTTTGATACTATAATTGAGTCTGAAGTTGAAAACAAGCCTTTGATAAGCTAGTGATGTTTTAATACAATTTTATACATCTAAATACGTATTTATTCTATTTTTGTTGTCTCAGGTTCAAAATGCTGATGATAATACCTACCCAACAAATGTAGAACCAACTCTAACATTCATTCTTCAAGAATCAGGTATTATTGTATTAAACAATGAGCAAGGATTCTCTTCCCAGAACATTACAGCACTTTGTGATGTTGGAAGTTCCACCAAGAAAGGATCTAATGCTGGATATATTGGGCAGAAGGGCATTGGTTTCAAATCAGTATTTCGGGTAGGTTGTGAAAACACTGCAGTTCTCTCTCTCTCTCTTTCTCTCTCTCTCTCTCTCTCTCTCTTTCTCTCATGTCAAACCACACCTATTCTTTCTTGATTGTTTGCTGCATTAAGTGAAGTACCTTGTACAGTTGTACTATCATTTGAATTTCTAACAAGCATTATTATAGGGACTATGGATCATATGTTTTACTGCTGCTATGAATTATTTATTATTTGGAGGAGACTTGCTCCACTGGATCCATAATGGTCCAGAAAGACATTGATAATATGCTTTCATTAATAGGCTTGCATTTATCTGCAGGTCACAGATGCTCCAGAAATTCATTCCAATGGGTTCCATATCAAGTTTGATATAAGTGAGGGTCAGATCGGGTTTGTTTTGCCAACAGTTGTACCTCCCTGCAATATTGACTTGTTTAGTAGGCTTACTTCTGGTGGCAATGATCAATCTGATCGTGACTACTGGAACACTTGCATTGTTCTTCCTTTCAAATCAAAATTATCAGATGCAACTGTCATGAAAAATATTATAAATATGTTTTCAGATCTTCATCCATCTTTATTACTCTTTCTGCACCGCCTCCAGTGTATCAAGTTCAGAAACTTGCTCGATGATTCACTTACTGTCATGAGAAAAGAAATTGTGGGAGATGGTATCGTTAAGGTTTCACTTGGGAAAGAAAAAATGACATGGTTTATAGTATCTCAAAAATTGCAAGCAGAATTTGTTCGTAGTGATGTACAAGAAACAGAGATCTCGATAGCATTGACTTTGAAGGAATCCAATAGTGGCGATTATAGTCCAGATTTACGCCAACACCCGGTTTTTGCATTTCTTCCTCTAAGAACTTATGGCCTGAAATTTATTCTGCAGGGTGATTTTGCCATTACTTCATCTAGAGAGGAAGTGGATGGAGATAGTCCCTGGAACCAGTGGCTATTGTCAGAATTTCCAGGTTTGTTTATCAATGCAGAGAGATCTTTTTGTGCTCTTCCATGTTATAGAGAGAATCCAGGCAGAGCTGTGGCAGCTTATATGTCCTTTGTTCCGCTTGTCGGGGAGGTGCATGGCTTCTTTTCTTCTCTTCCTCGATTGATTATTTCTAAATTACGTATGTCAAATTGCTTACTCCTAGAAGGAGGAAACAATGAATGGGTTCCTCCTTGCAAAGTTCTAAGAGGTTGGAATGAACGTGCTCATTCACTTCTTCCTGACAGTTTACTACATGAACATCTTGGCCTTGGGTTCTTGGATAGAAATATTGCGCTGTCAGACCAACTTGCAAGTGCACTAGGTATTGCGGAGTATGGACCCAAAGTTCTTCTTCAAGTTATGGTCTCTTTATGCCATAAACATAGTGATCTCAAATCAATGGGGTTTGGTTGGCTGGCCTTTTGGCTAAGTGAACTTTATGCAATGTTTTTCAGTTCATCCGTGGAAGCTTCATTTGACTCTAGAATTCAAATGGATGTCATAGAAGACCTTCGAAAAATTCCATTCATTCCTCTTTCAGATGGTACTTACGGTGCAATAGATGAAGGCCCAATTTGGTTACATTTTGATGCCTCATGCACTGAGCTTGAAGCTCAGCACGGACTTGAGTCCTTTCCACACTTATATGCAAAGCTTCGGACCGTAAATCCTGCCCTCCTTTCTACACTGTGTGCAGATATGTCATCCATGGATGTGACCACAGTTGAAAAACTCACATGTATACTTTTCCGAATTGGTGTCCAGAAGTTGTCTACACACGAAATTGTCAAAGTGCACATCCTGCCAGCTATGTCTGAAGATAGAATTATGGATAGGGATAAGAATTTGATGATTGAATATCTCTGCTTTGTTATGCTCCACCTACAGTCTAGCTGCTCCAATTGTCATGTTGAAAGGGAATATATAATCTCTGAAATACGGGATAAAGCTTACATATCAACAAATCATGGCTTTAAACGACCTTCTGAGGTATCAATTCATTTCAGTCAAGAATTTGGTAATCCCGTCGACATAATGAAGTTGATTAATATGGCGGATATGAAGTGGCATGAGGTTGACATCTCCTATTTGAGACATCCTGTCACAAAGTCACTCCCATGTGAACTGGAGAAGTGGAGGCAATTTTTCCAGCAAATTGGGATAACGGATTTCGTCAAAGTAGTTCAAGTTGTGAAGGGAACAGCTGATATTTCAGATGGACTAGTTAAGAATTTGATATGGGATAAGGACTTAATTTCCCTTAGGTCAAATATCAGAGATTGGGAATCCCCTGAATTGGTCGACTTATTGTCACTATTGGCCAGAGATGGCAACAAAAGAGGTTGTGAATATCTTTTAGAGGTTCTTGATACTTTGTGGGATGATTGTTATAGTGAAAAAACTACAGGTTATTGTGCTTCTAACTCTGAAGCCAACAGAAGGCCCTTCAAATCTTCATTTATAAGTAGCATCTGCGATGTGCAGTGGGTAGCATCAGCGATGGATGATGTGCTTCACTATCCTAAACATTTATATCATGACTGTGATGCAGTGCGTTCGACTCTGGGGGCATCTGCTCCTTTTGCGATTCCAAAGGTTAGTTTGGTACCTGCATACCGAATTCCCCATTTTTTTACTTCAAAGGGACCTTTTTTATTTGTTTTCTACATGTTTTTTTTTTTTCTGCATACTAAATTACTTTCTGATTTTTCCTAACAGTTTGAATGGTTATCAATAAAGCTTATATAATGATTGTAAATAATTCTGTGAAAATAAATATTTGTGTGAGAATATTTGTAGGTATCCGCTGATGAATGATCGTAAATAATTCTGTGAAAATTTTTGTGTGGAGAAATTAATATATGTCCAACTTTGACTACTTGTGATACTTATATTTTGGATTTGTGAACTTGATTTTCTATCTTCTAATATATTTTTTTTCTCTATCGTATTTTAATTATCTAATATGACATGCTTTTAATAATCGCCAGGATTCGCAGTTGAGCTTCAAGATTTTAATTATGTGAATTAGTTGAATATTGATGTTAATAATTTGTTGACATCATTATCATTCGAATTGATAAGCCTGCTTGTTCTCTTTTATGTTTAATGTTCTCCTTGTCCATAAAAGTATAAATAAAAGTTTGTATCTTCATAAAACAATTTATAATTAGACAAAAGGATATTACGATGTTGCATCTACGAAGAAGAATTTTTTTATGGTAGTTAAGAAATTAATTAACATTATTTATACGGTGTTGTTGTTTGGACGCTTGGGAGTTTTAACGAAAAGTTCACCGTACTGTTCACTTAACGAAAAATCACATTTTTACACTAAAAAGTCAAACTTGATACTATTCACTTTACTATTTATTTTGTCCTTATCGTTAAAACTTAAAGGTTTCAAGCCTTTTTCATTAGTTTTCCTTTAATAATTCCCCCATCGCCTCTCTGTTCACCTACTAATTCATATCCAACTGTTTACATGTGCAAAATGATGAAAAAGCCACAAAATCAAGAAACGATTTAAAATGGGAGGATTATGTTGGGAGAGGTATTTACTTGATTAAGATGGCCTGGGTGTTGCCATTATTAACCGCAAAACTCGCTAATGCAACACCCATGCCATCTCCGTCAAAGCAAAACCTCTCTCAAATCTAATCCTCCCTTTTTAAATGGTTTGTTGATTTTCTGGCCTTTTTCTTCATACGTGGTGACATTTGAGGGTTAAGATTTATGATTCTGTCAAAGTCATGGGGACTTTGGGTTCTGGAATGTGGTTATTCATTTTTTATTGGGCCAACCAGGGTCAAGTGAAGCACAGTTCGGTATTTTACCACCGAATAATTATGGCATATTTGATGCTAATTTTTCGAACAAACTCAGCTCCAAGTCTTATTTGTTCCACAACTCAGGTCTGGTCCCATCCCATGTGAAGCAGTCTCTGGTGGTTATTTGATTCTTACAGTGATGTTCCAGAACCATTTGTTTTTTTGAGAGAATGTGGCTCAGATTTTGGTACCTTGGAAAGAACCTTTTGTTTTTTTCAAGAGAACTTGACGGTACGAGGTGAAAATTTATTAAATAAAAAAAAATTACACCTAGTTAGAGATACTAGAATTTATTATATGTTTAGAATTTGGAGATGGCTGCATCTTTCGATTACCAAATTTTAAAAAGAAAAAGAAATGATAGCTCTAGATTCCAATCCTCTTTAGCAATCCCTATTGTTTCCATTATGAAATGAGCAATGCACCTCAAGAATATTTTGCATATGTTGTTTCTGGAAGGCAACTCCGCCTATGTCTTACATAGCCGGTCCCAAGCCCGGATAAAGGAGGAGGGGGAGGGCGTCAGGTAGTCGACAGCCGGCACTCCATGATCACGTCGAATCCTTATGAAAATGAATCCAGAACAAAATCGCGCTAAAGCTAGGGCGTCACCCGTAAGTGGCGCGCTGTGTGGCCCGAGCACAGTGATAAGTGAGCAAGGGTCGCTGTATCTCCATCGGCACCCGGATGCAGTGTTAAATGAGCAAGGGGGCCATAGAAACTTCTTTTCGAACGACTCCACTCAAAGTTGTTTGGGAGCATATGCTCCTATCAACTTTACCCGGGACACACAAAAGAAGTACTTTGATCCTATTAGACGGGGGAGGGTGAAGAAGCTAGGACAGAAGGGTAGAGTTCAAGAGAGCAAAATGCGTTTAGGAACGTGGAATATAGGAACCTTAACGGGAAAATCTATGGAAGTAGTGGAAGTTATGGTGAGGAGAAGGATAAATATTATGTGCCTACAAGAAACTAAGTGGGTTGGTAGTAAGGCAAAGGATCTAGAAAACTCAGGGTTTAAACTTTGGTATTCGGGCACAAATAGAACGAGAAACGGTGTTGGCATCATCGTGGACAAGACCTTGGTACAAGATGTTGTAGATGTCAAGAGGGTAGGAGATAGAATCATGGCAATCAAGATTGTAATAGGACAAGAACTTATCAATGTGATTAGTGCGTACGCACCTCAAGTAGGGTTGGATACGAGTTCGAAGGAGAAATTTTGGGAAGATCTTGGAGACTTGGTGCAAGGAATTGCTCAGACGGAGAAGTTATTTATAGGAGGAGATTTAAATGGACACGTGGGCAGGGAGACAGGCAACTATGGAGGTTTTCATGGTGGCCATGGTTTTGGGGAGAGAAACGAGGATGGGGAAGCTATCTTGGATTTTGCAATGGCATATGATCTCTTCTTAGCCAACACCTTCTTTAAGAAGAGAGAAGAACATGTGATCACCTACAAGAGTGGGTCGTCAAAAACACAAATAGATTTTCTTCTAATGAGGAAAGGGGATCGTATAACTTGTAAGGATTGCAAAGTTATACCAGGAGAGAGCGTGGCTAATCAACATCGCTTGTTGGTGATGGATGTACATATCAAAAGAGTGAGACAAAAGAACAAGACTTGGAAGTGCCCAAGGACTAGATGGTGGAATCTAAAAGAAGAAAAAAACAAGCCATTTTCAAAGAGAAAGTAATCACCCAAGTGTGTGTGGGATAGAGAGGGGGAAGCTAGCCAAATGTGGGATTCCATGGCTAGTTGTATCCGAAAAGTAGCAAAAGAGGTATTAGGAGAGTCCAAGGGCTTTGCCCCACACCAAAAGGAATCTTGGTGGTGGAATGAGGAGGTACAAACAAAGGTGAAGGCTAAGAAGGAATGTTGTAAAGCCTTATACAAGGATAGGACCGATGAAAATGGTGAAAGGTATAGAAAAGCGAAGCAAGAGGCGAAGAAAGCTGTGAGAGAAGCTAAGTTAGCGGCTTACGACGATATGTATAAACGACTAGATACCAAAGAAGGAGAGTTGGATATCTATAAACTAGCTAGAGCAAGGGAAAAGAAGACAAGGGACCTAAACCAAGTGAGGTGCATCAAGGATGAGGATGGAAAGGTTCTTGCTACAGAGAACGCGGTTAAAGACAGATGGAGAGGTTATTTTCATAATCTTTTCAATGAAGGACATGAAAGGAGTGCTTCTTTAGGGGAGTTGAGTAACTCAGAAGAGTGTAGAAACTACTCTTTTTTATCGTCGAATCCGGAAGGAAGAAGTGGTTGTAGCTTTGAAGAAGATGAAGCATAGAAAAGCAATAGGCCCAGACGATATACCAATCGAAGTGTGGAAAGTTTTGGGAGAGACAGGTATAACATGGCTCACTGACCTTTTCAATAGGATTTTGAAAACGAAGAAGATGCCAAATGAGTGGCGAACGAGCACTTTGGTGCCTATCTACAAGAATAAGGGCGACGTACAAAATTGCATGAACTATAGGGGTATTAAGCTAATGAGTCATACAATGAAGCTCTGGGAGAGAGTCATTGAGCATAGATTGAGGCAAGAGACACGGGTTTCGGACAACCAATTCGGGTTCATGCCAGGGCGCTCAACCATGGAGGCAATCTATCTCTTACGAAGATTGATGGAAAGATATAGAGATGGGAAAAAGGATTTACACATGGTCTTTATAGATTTGGAAAAAGCGTATGATAGGGTCCCAAGAGACATTCTTTGGAGGATTTTAGAGAAGAAAGGAGTACGAGTAGCATATATCCAAGCTATAAAGGATATGTATGAAGGAGCAAAGACTGCCGTAAGAACTCATGAAGGACAAACCGAAAGCTTTCCCATAACTGTAGGATTACATCAAGGCTCATCCTTAAGTCCTTACCTTTTTGCGTTGGTAATGGATGAGTTAACAGGACATATTCAAGATGATATTCCTTGGTGTATGCTTTTCGCAGACGATATAGTGTTGATAGATGAAACTCAGGAAGGGGTAAATGCAAAGCTTAACCTTTGGAGAGAAGTGTTGGAATCTAAAGGTCTTCGCCTAAGCCGATCAAAGACAGAATATATGGAGTGCAAGTTCAGTGCAAATGGAGGCCAAAACGAGTTAGGGGTGAGGATCGGAGATCAAGAAATACCAAAGAGCGACCGTTTTCGTTACCTAGGATCTATCTTGCAAAAGAACGGAGAATTAGATGGAGATCTCAACCATAGAATACAAGCTGGATGGATGAAGTGGAAGAGTGCATCCGGCGTGTTGTGTGACCGCCGTATGCCACTGAAGCTCAAGGGAAAATTTTATAGGACGGCAATAAGGCCGGCGATGCTGTATGGCACAGAATGTTGGGCGGTGAAAGCATCAACACGTACACAAAATGGGTGTAGCGGAGATGAGGATGCTTCGTTGGATGTGTGGGCACACGAGAAAGGATAAGATTAGGAATGAGGATATCCGGGGTAAAGTAGGAGTAGCCGAAATTGAAGGAAAGATGAGAGAAAATCGGTTACGGTGGTTTGGACATGTGCAAAGAAGGCCTACTGACGCTCCGATTAGAAGATGCGACTATGGGACAGAGGTTCAGGGCCGAAGGGGTAGAGGAAGACCTAGGAAAACTTTGGAAGAGACTCTAAGAAAAGACTTAGAGTACTTGGATCTAACGAAGGACATGACACAGGATCGAGCACAATGGCGTTCTAAGATTCATATAGCCGATCCCACTCAGTGACTTGGATTTTCCAAGTCTCCAACCGAGAAGTTTTC